CAAAAGAGAGGGAGAAACAATTTTCTTATCTCCAGCATTCTTGAGGAGATCCACCAATCCAAAGGCAGGCTTGTGCTGGGGACTACAGCATCAGGAATACAATGACTGTGTCCTATTGTCACATGCTACCAAGACATTAGCACTGTTGGGCAACATTGACCCTGCTGGAGAGGTCATGTTGGAGAGCCACTCTCACCTAGGAGGAGTCCAAGGTAAGGCCCAAATATTGTAACCTTTTAGCAAGGTGGACTTAAATTCGGAACACATGCAAACCTCTAACAAGTGTGCACTGTGTGAGACACATTGGTCTCCAGAAGCAAAGCGGATTGCTCCCTAAAAAGTTGGTCGTCCTAGTACCCTATAATAGCGATACCTGGGTGTGCAAGATCCCCAGAAAGCACAGAAAACTTTAGGTGATGTGTATAAACATGCATCTTTGAAACTCCCTGTTGGAGAGAGACAACCACTGAGTGCACAGATTCCATCTGAAACTTTTACAGCTGTAGAAACTTGAGTCTCTTGAGGTTAAAGATTGGAGGAACATCGCCATTCAGTTTCAGAACTGTGAAGGTTTGAGTAGAAACCACAAAAACCTTTCACTCTCTGGAAAAGGAATAATCACTCATTGAGACAGCTGATCAAGAATTTGCAATTGTGCAAATCTTTTTTTGTGGATTCAAATAAACATTTAAAAAAGATGAAGTGCAGATCTTTGAACCACAAGTTTTGCCTTTTTAATAAGTGGTAACAGGGTACTCTTGCCCAGTCACCTTCTGGATGCAATCATCTAAAAGCAGGACAAAATAAACATTCCCCCTGGAAAGGTAAACATTTCACATTTCTTGTAGGGCAATTTCGCTGACCACACTTCAGTCACAAGGGCCTGCGCATGTGAATGGATTCAATCCCAAGATGTGAAAGTTGCTGAATGGAGTCCTTAGCTCTTTCACTGTCAGAGCCAGCTATACTTTTTGTTGCTCTAATTAAAACATAACTTTAGGTTTGAAGAATTAGTTAAATTATATATTTTATGAAAGCAAAGACTCTTGAGAATAAAATAGTGGTAATTCCAATTTTTTATGTCATATACAATATTTGTACAACAGTTTATCAAGCACAAAATTTCAGTAATACACTGAAGTTAATTTTAGGGCACAAAAATGCAGCATATTACCCAATTTTTGTTAAAATTGAAAAGATAAAAGTTGCCCCAATTGAAAAAAATACAAGCTTTAAATTTGCACTTGCCTGCAAGGCAATGACAAACTTCAGTACCCCATAGGCGACAATTTAAAAGCCCCCATCAGTTTACAGTTAACCGTGAATAATGGGCCTAAAATGATTGCGCTCACTCTGGCGTGCATGGCGATATGTAATGTGTATCGCAATGTTTTTGTGCATAACTACCCTGACAGGTGCATTTATATTTGCATGTGGACATGCTAAATATTTTTTTGGGGGGGTTAGGTGTTCAGGAGTACTTGGTTCATACTTTTTTAATTTTCACTTAAACTTTTTTTTATATCACATAGGGTACAAAGTCCCCTATGTAATATTTTTATGCAAAGTTCTCTTTAACAAGAGATCGGGGAGGGTACACTTCGGGGTCAAGGAAATAGATTGTTTTCATTTATCTGCTTGTGGAGTGTGTGTAAAGCCTTCTGCTTCCATCCCTTTTGCAGTGAAAGGGTTAAAGGTGTTCATTGAGCATGCGTAAAATCCTCCAGGTTTCAACTTGATCCTGCATCTAAACTAGTAGAATCCCTCTCTTGTCATGCAAGAAGTTCAAACCTTAAGGCACTGAAATATGCTGCAAACGCCGGATGTAAATCTGCTTGTACCAGCGCAAATGAGGCCTTTTGAATAGGCCTTGCTTTTTTTTTTTATGTGCTACTGGGACCTGTAGTTCCACAAGGATACTCTGCTGTTACCTGCAGTTCTTCAGGATGCTGCCACAGAGCTGTTACCCCAATTCTTTTCTGTCAATCTGTGCAGTAGTTTGCCACCAGGGTGCCCCACCTCACTCATGACAACATGGCTATAATGCATATATAGTTCTGAATATACAGAGTGGATGCATGGGTTAGGGGGAGTAGGGGGTTATTAGTATAGGTCACTCACTAGTCCATGCTGCAGGAGCCCCTAAGGTGTCCAATTTTTACCCATCACATCAGGTTCTGCCACTGATAGTCTTCAAGGGCTTCCCAGCTGAGGATCACTGCACCTGTATAGAACCCTACCAGTCCACAAGGCAATATGTCATTATACAGGGTTCCAATGCCAACCAGCAATATTACAGGCCATCCTCGTGTGTCCAGAGCAGGGTCTGGGTACCATTCTTCTTAGTGTAGAAAGCCATAGGAAAAAGGATCTGGATAAAGCCAGTCCTCTAAATACCAGTCAGAACCGTCTTGAAGCTAGCTATTCTGTTGTGCAATGACTGCACACATGACCATGTGCAATAAAGCCAAGGAGGGAAATTCCTTCTAATATTTTTTTTTTGCCAGTGTTTAATCACCTGAAGGTTGCAGCATAACCTTATCATACTAGTGATGAAGGTATCCAGGGTCCTGGGATGTACAATAAAGAAAAAACACTAATAAAATATTAGGAACAATAAGAACAAATTTATTCTTCAAGCAAAAATATAGTAAAAGGTTTATGGTGCTATATAGCAAAAAACAACTGCTATTTACAACATCTATCATTTGAAGATACCATCCAACAGACAGAATTCTATAAAGTCGAATGACACATTCGGAGTTATTCAAAATATCTCCTTTTAAAGCAATCCCCTATATTATTTGTGTGAAATTATACTTTAATATGAGATAGAACCAATTAAATGTTATCAACTACACACAATATAAACAAGACATATTTGTCTTGATTATCATCACAAGATTAGATCTAGTGGATTCAAGACTGTCAGCAACAAAACTTTATTAATTGGATAGGCAAAATTAGACCAACAAGCAAAAAAATTTTATAGCATACCGTCTGCTTTAAAATCATACCAGTGTAATCCTAGATGAATATTGCTTCTCACTATTAACAGCCTTATAAAAATGTATTATGATCTTTAAATGAGAATGCAAGCTAAAAGTATCATTGTACATACATTTGTCCCTCAAATTTGTGAAATAATTAACAAAGCAAAGTTGTAGCCATCTAAAAAAATGTCATTGGATGCAGCTGGACTAGGTATTTTTTCTGAAAAAGTTCTCGTCCTATTAATCCTTTACTTTTTAGGCGCATGAGCCCTGATTCACATATATGCAATTTTAAATAATGGTTTAGAAGCCGGAATCGGAAGACAGTTGGCAGAAAGTGTATTTCTATGGAGGCCATTCAGGTATGTGCGGTTGATCCGCGCTGTGTTTTTACAAAAAGGGTCCCACGTGACTTTTGGCACAGCTCGAGCCGAGAAAGAGCGATAGAGAGCTCTTAAAACAGCATGCAAACCACATTCTGAATCGCAGGTATAATCGTACTTTTGCAACACTGATGTGTGAACCTAGACTGAATTTCTGTATTTGTTCCTGACCTGCTGTCAGAGTGGTCTGGGGGAGGGGTAAATGAACTTTGGCACCATATGAACTAGTGAAGATAACAGAAGTGTGTTTGGGACCTGCGTTTGGGGTGTTGCCAGCACTAACAGATTGCAACTGCAGTACGTTTTGAACGTGGTGTGGTAAATGCACACAGAACATAGGTTTTTTTATACCAAGGTCTGGTGTGAACAAGGCTTTAGAATTTATGGTGTGTAAAAAAAATTAAACACATTAAGGGGCACAATTATAAAGCAGTGCTTAGATCTGCACAAATTTACCAAGCTCTCTCCGCTTCATTAAGCAGAGAACTTCATAGCCCTCCACCATCTACACCTTGCAACCTGAATTTTAGCAATGAGTGGGCCACAATGTGCATAGTGAGTCTCTGTCCATTAAAAGTAAACTTCGTATTTCTAAAAGGTTTTCCAAGCAATGGCATAGTTCAAAAACCTTGTGACTGAACTACCAAACTTAATGGACATACAAAGAATGCTGTGCATCAACCAACCAATATCCTGGGGAAAAAAAAAAAAAAAAAAAAAAAAAAAAAAAAGTGTGGTTACATAAGAAAAAAAAGGACACACCAAAAAAAAAGTACGATTGATACTTAAATGTACCATTCTGAAGAAACAAAAACTTTAATAGCTATTCAAGTATAATACATAAATAACAATACAAACAGAAAACTTAACATTGTTTGGTAAGTTGTCCAATGTAATATGCCAACTTTTCCTTCACAAAGCATATTCATTTTTTCTGCAGACTCCAAGTGAAGGATTTATAAAGTCTGCACCAAGCAGATGTTTGGAATATCTAACAGCTTTAGTGAACACCAAGGAATGAGTCTCCTGGTATCCTAAATTTTACACCCTGTATCTGCATGAAAGACCGCTCCACCACTGCAGTGAGATCTCTATCTGCATTTTTTTTTTTTATTTTCAAAAGCAGTTTCAAAAGCTTGAAAAGGGATACAATTTATTGTAAGATTGGCATGAATGCTCGGCTACTGCCTCTGCAAATATGCTTTAAATGTATTGCGTGACTATAAATTACTTTTTATTGCCAAAAGAAAATTGCAAACAAATCTTCTGAAGCTCAACATCCCACACAGAGTAAAAAGCATTTTTCTGAACATATACTGTTTACCCGTGCAATTTTATTTCAGAATGTAAAATCATTTTACACTACACCTTCTATTCTCAGATGTTTCTTAGAGTTGAGGAGCCAAATAGTTCTTAGGTGCTTACCTAAATTATACACCTGAATTGTGTGTTTATTCAAAGTAAAGACATATCAAAAAGCTTCAAATCAACACAACTGTGGTTATACAGAACAATATAAACAATCTTGTTGATGATGTTTATTATTAGCATGTGTTTATGGTCCAGGAGTTGAGTAAAGTGCTCCAGGCAATCAATAGGTGATTATGACTGCTGTGGTGGGGATTCATTTCCTCCTGCTCCCTCCTCCACCAGCCAGCATCATGGCTACACGGATGAAGATATTCAAGGTGTCCATGTAAATTCCCAGGCATCTGCAAATTAAAATACAATGACAGGATATGTTGCATTTGTAAGATACTAAATTGCAAAAATACATAGTTATGATAGACGTAATAAAAAGGATGTTAGTTTCTAAACTAATGCATAGTGCAGTTCTTGTGAATACACACTTATTGATATCTTTCTACTAGTACTTCTTGCATTCTAAAGGCTTTTTACAGTATAATACAACAGGATCTATCTGGAATAATTACTAAAGGATTTTAAAAATTAGACCACCAACAAATATGCAATCTGCCACCCTTACATTTTTTTTCAAGGTTTAACTCTGTCATCATACTCCTTGCTTGCCTATACTGTGATTCAGTACCAAAGGACAAATGTGTATATCATATGTCCAAACAAGTTGAGCAACTCCCCAAGAAGACTTTAAAATAAAAGCCAGCAATGACAGTTTCCAGACCTCAATGCCTATTAACATACAGTACAACTCAAATATTCCACTACAGATGAGATAATATAATGGATTTAAAAAATAAATAAATAAAAAGAACAGAAATAGAATGTTCACTTGGCAAAGTCTATGTTCACTTAAATCAGTAAATAGGGTAAAGCTGTTTTCACTTCAGTAGTTAAAATCACATCCAAGCCCTGTTTCCTACCTTTGTATTACTGGATATATAAAATTAACACAACCTTTCCTTCTATACTAAGCCAAGTCAACATGCACTGTACAACTGTCCTCCAGTATAACACCCCAATGACAGATTTAAAGGAATGTGCACTGCAGCTAAACTCACGTTTAGGAGCCATTCAGCTATTTTTTCAGCAGCCCCTGAACTCTCCCTAATGTTTTCCTACGTGTCCATGTACACAGTCATTTACAGGTAGTTGAGTTTACATTTGTTTTTCTGAACACACCAAACTTGAGTTCAGGAGATTTTACAGACGTTCCAAACGCTTGTAAACACAGTTAACAGTTCCATGTCCAGAGCCTTTTTTCATCATCAGAAATACATGCAAAGTGTTTTCCATGTATTCAAATGGAACTAGTACACCAGCGCAGTCAGTTCCAGGTTTCGCGTAAAGGAAAAAAATTGGTAGAACGTGCTGCATTATGCTCATGATGGGATCCATAGTGAATACAACCAGAAAACACAGGTAATCTCAACACATACTGCTCTCTCTGTTCCTCTCAAAATGTCTGAAATAGTTAATTTTTTTACCATTTTTCAGTGCATTCGGGAAGGTCTCCTGAGGTTATCTTTTAAAAACACTTCTAAATGCAAACGCGCATAAACACAGTATGCAAACACGGCTAAACTGACGTTTTTTAACCTATGTTTTCCAGCAGTCAATTTCCATCATTCAGAAGATTTTTCCAAACACCCCGTGTAAATGAGCCCTAACTCTTAACAGATATGTCAAGTAAAAGCAATGACTTGAAGATAAAGAAAAAAAAAAAGCTAACAAACAATTAAAATGTGTAAATCAGCTATTAACCTCCCTAGCGGTCTGATTATGTCAGTATTTCTGTGCGCAAAGCGGTACATCATTTGTTTTTTTTACATGTTTTTTTTTTTTATTATAGGCCTAGAATTCTTAGGAATAACTCATTAAAAACTGTCTGAACAAGAGTCTGTCTGAACAAGAGTCTGATAAAGTTTGAAAACACGAAATCATAAAGAATATAATAAATAATCATAAACAATAAGAATAAAATTCAATAATGTAATCAAACCAAAAACACTGAAATTTGAAATAGAGCGCCAAGTTCGCATATCACTGAACTCAGTCGCAAAATCGTTTTCAGTGTCTGATGACGAATTTCCCCACGAATCATTATCACTCAATTCTGCAAGTGTTTCTAATTCACTATCGCTGTTTTCTAGCTGGTCTAAAACCGCTTTTGACCTAAAGGGATGCTTTTTGCACATTTCTCAGTCTCCAGGCAGAAAGAACAGTAAAAATGCAGGCAGGGCACAGGACAAAGCACTCGGGACAAAATGTATGTGGAATGTTATACTGTGTGATTTTAGTGTATTGAGTGAATGTAAAATTTTTACATTTTTGAAATTCCCGCTGGTTCCGTCCCCCGTACATCCCAACGCTTGCAGGGAACGGAAGACGGATGCTTGCATCGGCCAGAGGACACGGCCAGGGTCGCTGCAGGAGGGACACCGTGGGACTGCAGGACCAGGTAAGTGTTCGAGGAATCCCAGAGCAACGCTGCAGTGTAATCCCAAGTGTAGCTCGGAGGTTACCGCTTCTGGTACTGAAAGTTAACCCCGAGCTACACTCGGTAATACTGCCGGGGGGGGGTTAAAGTGATTTTAAAGGCAGAACATTTTTAATCTTAATGCATTCCTTGCACGGTAAAAATGATTCCAGTAGCTGATTGGTCCCTCACCTCCCTAAATACTTGCCTATAGAGTCCTTTCTTTCTCAAGCTAACGCTGTGCCTGTCGGCAGCAGCGCTGGTCTCTGCACCTCTCCTCATAGGACACAGAGGCACAGTGGGAGCCATTTACTCCTGCTGCTGTCAATCAAATCCTGTGAGGAAGGACAGGGCACAGGGCAGAGCTGTACTGTGCATGTCTATCAATGCCCATATCATAGCTTGGGAGAGAGCCCGCAGGTGTGCCCCCATAACAAGCAAGGAGGAACCAAGAGTGCGGGTAGCGGACCCCAGAAGAGGAGGAGGTTTGGTGCTGCTATGTGCAATAATTGCACAGAGCAGGTAAGTATACCTCGTTATTTTGGAGAAATTACATTAAATGTTTTAGGTCCCATTCACATCTGCGCGTTCCCAAAACGTGCAACAAACTGCACAGAAAATGCATGTAATCAGAAACACCCTGCAAATACAGATCTCGCTTGTGGTGCTATTAACTGCAGCAAACGCACCAAAATACTCAGTGAAGAAAATCACCATGCTCCCATAAAATAAAAGTTTGAGTGTTTGTCGCACGCAAGGCCCATTCAAGTGACAGCATGCAGGAACGGGGGTTTGAATGAATGGGGCCTAAAGCTTGTAAAAGTTCCCTTGTTGATACAGACTGCCTGTTACAAAACCTAGAATATATCATACAGAAGTAGTATAAAGCTTTGCCATGGCAAAACAAGGTGATATAACCAAAAGTTATGTAGTATTATTAGGGAGAAGCATTAGGGAGCACCTAAGGCAGGATCTAGTGATTGAAGCAAACATTACAGTGACTCTACACAATGGGGTCCAGGTATGGTGCCCAAAGTACAAACCAAGGGTAACAGATTCACAATCTGCTAAGAAACTCAAGGCAATAAGCAGTTAAATGTTGATACACGATTCAGGTCAAAGACTAATGGTCTGAGGGATAAAACAAATCAGGTGAGACTTCAGGAACGTATGTACAGTTTGGAGGAAAGAAGGGAAAGGGGAGACAAATAAAACCCTTAAATATTTCAAGAGAGTGAGTAAGGTTCAGGAGGTCAGTTTTTAGTATGAAGCCAAGATCAAGAACACATGGACATGATCTCAAACTAGCAGGAGGAAAGTTCAAAACAAATCTTAGAAAGTATTATTGTATTGAAAAAGGTAGTTGATGCTTGGAATAGACTTGCAGCTGAGATAGTGAGTCAGTCAACAGTAAAAGGTATTTAAACATGCCTAGGATAAACATAAAATCTATACTCAAACAAAGTTTAACAAAACAAAAAGTAAGAGTAGACAAGGCAGACTCGATGGACCACTTGGTCTATTTTTTCACTCTATTAGCAAAAAATTGGAGCCTCATGGAGTGCACAGTGTTATATAAGGACAGACTAGAGGTAGTCCTAATTTTTTGCCTGTGTCCAACAACCTGAAGGCAGCAGCATACAACAGGGAGCCGCAGCTAGTTGGGCAGCTAATAAGAGCAACTTTAGGTAACTGGTCTTACAGCGTACAGAAAGCCTATGGAAGTGAGTGGAAAAAGGTAAGTATGTCACCATATTAATCCTAACCTAAGCAAAACAAGAAGCTATACCATGCATTGCATAAAAGGGGAGCTACTGAACGGGTAAAGTTTCTGTTTTTTTTCCCCAGATAGGGTAAATGTGTTCTAAAAGGACATTTCACTTAACAAGCAAACATTTCCTTTAGTGCAAATTAAAAGTCAGCAGACCCCGTTTGCCCAGGAAAAAAACTTGTACAGCACACAGCCTCAATGTCAATAATAGATTTTAGTGGGATATAACTTTTAGACGTGAACAGTTTTCTGGATACTTACGAATTTATAGGATCAAATTTCACCATTCCATACATGGGTGTAGTTTCAGCTCGTTTGATAACTTTCTGTGTGTCATACAATAGAAAGAAGCCAAAAAGAACAAGGCCTCCATAAACAGCAATTGAGTACAGTCCAGCACCAAGTGCAGATGTTGGTGGAAGGAATGCACTTCCTACCATAGAAACAAAGGAGAAGACAAAATCAATATGTGCATTATTACAAAAGTAAGTTGAACGTTGTAGTATGAGCATATAAAAAAAGTTAGCGGAAAACAAATGCCAAAATAAGTTCATCACAAACTGTTGTTCTTTTGCGTTAATCCATAGCAAACAAAAAGGCAATAACAGTTTTGGTTAACGTTCACTTGATGACCATAGCGTTCAGATACAATATCAGTGCCAGATCTTGCTTAACAAAAAACACAGAATTACATGGATTGAGAGCAGAAGGCAAACAGCTGATGAACCTATAACCATACCCTTACTATTTATCATAGTGCTGAACATATTCCTATTGAAAAATGATACAAATACATCAAAATGCAGATAAATATTGTACGTACCAATAGATGATGCCAGAACAAAGCCGAAACCAATGCCAAGCGGTCCACCTATGTTTAGGAACTTTTCACTTGGTGCACACATGGCTACAGTTGACAATCCACCTACAATACCAGCTGTATACCAAGCAGCTCTCTGACAAGTAGAGGGCCACCAAGTAATGTTAATGGTGCAACCACAGCTCCCATTACACCTGCAGAAAGACACACACAATATTTTAATATTTAGTAGAATGTGTTGCGGCAACAGGAATAAATCTGAATCTATTTATCGGAAAACGTATTGGCATTTTTGTTATCAGCATGCATAAATTCATCAAAATGCATACAAAGCTTTGTTTTCATCATATGACGACATACCTGCATGTAGCAGCCAGGCTAGATGCTTGGCACCAGGACTTTGGTCATAAGGTATTGACCTAACCAGCATACCAGCTCCAATCATTGCTGCAAATGTTGCTCCAATGGCCTGGAATGCAAGAACACGCAATAATAAATTCTGATGTCTGATTCAGATATCAAAATAACAAGTCACAAAAGCAGTATAAGACAATTCCAGAAATGTGTGCCTGGTGGAGGGTGTCCATGTGAATGACACAAAATGCACTTAAACACCAGAATGGTTTTTGGGCAATTATATTCTCAAATTTGCTAGTGAAATTCTGTCTAAAAGGACTACATAAGATTAAGTAATGTGCTCCCTGTAAAATTAAATGTAAAGTAATTTTCAAATCTCTTTTCTATGCACTTACCAGCCAAGATCCTCTCATCATGAGGCTCATCAAAGCTGGAGACCTACTAACAGCAACAGCAGACAATGCTGTGAGACCAATGCTGCCAGCAAAGTACATGTAAGTAGACCGGATCCTATCTTTCACATACTGAGGCCAAATTCTGAAAAACACACACAAGTACAGAAAGAATTAGCTTATGCTGCATCAACAATGCTTACTCATATACAAACATAATGTAGTTGTGCGTTTGTATGGCTTTTTAATAAAGGTTGTTGTGCAATGATTGTTTGCATGTTATGTTGCCTTCTTTGATGATGTCGGAGATGGAGTTTGATTTGGAAGCTGCATGAAGTCACAGGATTCACATGTGGAGAAGGATTTATACATTTATGCAGTTAAGGGGTTCATGTCAGAAGATGAGTTGACCCCTACAGGGGAGCCTTTTGGCTTCATCTCCATTCTGAAATTGTCTGAGTGATTTCAAACACTGATTGGCTCACGTTTCTGAAAATTCTCGTGCTGAAACCGAAATTCAGAATGCATGTGGTTGAAAACCGACCTGAAATGGAAATGTCTGCGTATGTGGGGAAGCTCCAATTTTTTTCTACTTTCATGTATGTTTATTTATTTTTTTTTTAAAACCAGTAGTCCCCTATGTGATAGCATATAAGTTGACAGGCCATCTTTGGGGGGGGGGTGGCATTGTGTGCAAGGAAGGGGCAGGAGAGGAACAGTGAATACAGTGAGGGAGCAGTGTATACAGAGAGGATCCCTCACTGGCTGTCACTATGTCAATGACGGCTTTTAAATGCAATTGCCGGATTTTCTTTTTTCACTATAGCTCAGGTAATGAGCAGTCACTTTCCCCCGGAGCTAAAGGAAACTTTGTTTCTTTTAGCTTGGGGAAAGAAACGGTTTCTTTTAGCTCTAGGGAAAGTTACAGCTCATTCGCTGAGCTACAGTGAAGAAAAAAAGAAAAAAAAAAAAAAAAAAAGCTGACATAGTGACAGTAACTCACTGTATACACTGCTCTTCTCCTGCCTTTCTCCGCTGCCCTCCCCCTCACATCTGCAGCACACACAGTCCCCTGTATCGGCTAAATTTTTCCTATCGGCAAAAAACCGATAGGGCTATATTCGGCAGATATGTTTCGATGGCCAAAATGTCGGTGCATCCCTAGTGAATATATCAAATTCTATACATACAGTATTTGTTTTATACAAATTTATTAGCAGTATAACTTTATTGGTTTTGGTATTAACATTAGCATTGCAAATAGTATTCAGGTTAGACAGTATTATAGCCTACCTCTAGGAGGAAAAATCCATTAACACCCAGGACAAAAAGACTTTAAAGCTGACCTCCATGTTTTACTTAACTTTAACTATCCACTACCCAGCCTAGCAGGATCTTTTTAATTCTGGTTGAACATTCTCCAAATCGTACACCCCCTGCACGCACTAGCGCCCCTGCTGCAACTTAATTTGTCATTAGCTATGTCCACTGAACACAGTGAAATGACAGATCATTGCTCTGTGCCGGGCCCTGGTACCATGTGATTGACTTGTGATTGGTCACAGCAAATTCACACAATGAATTGCTTTCATTCACAGCCAATCATGTACTATTGTGACTGGTCATAGTGATGACATGGTACAGACAGGATCAATCACAGCGCATCTTGTGTCATGTGATAGCTGTGGCTGTGATTATATAGGCAATCATAGTGTACAAAAAAAAAAAGAAATAAAAGAAGAAAAATCCTGATTACCTCACCAGAGTAGTAGTAGTGTCACCATAGTAACATTGCATTGCTCTGGTCACAGTATATTAAAACATAAAATAAATAAGAACCTGACCCAAACTACCACTTCACTAACAGTTGCAGCAGCTGTGTGCACTATTTAAACCAGTAGCAACATACAGTATACAGCACTGTGAACCTCCCCCAGAACAAAATCAAGCAGGACTGAGTGCCACTCAGCCATTCCGAGGAAGCTTTGTATTCAATGAATGAATACAAAGCTTCCTCTGATTGGGTGAGGTGGAGAGGCAGGCTGACTAACTCTGCCTTAGCCAAACAGCTTAGTATAGATTCATAGTATACAAACACTTCCTCCGAATGGCTGAACAGTACTCGGCTTGACCTAATTTTGTTCTCATCCTGCTGCTGGAACACAGTGCTGTATTCTGTATGTATTTGAGGTTACATTACAGTTCATACTGCAAGAATAGCTGCTGCAATTGTTAGTGAAGTAGATAGGTTGTTTGGACCAGGCTGTCCCTACTTGTCCTGCTATCCATAGTGACCTATGAATGGAGTCCACATCTGCCCTGAGAGTGGTGTGAGGAATAGGCAAGAAGATGTATGAACAAAGTCCCAAAATAAGAGGTCTTCAGAGAAGCTCTGAAGCATCCATCACCTTCAGACACTAGCACAAGTTGAACTGGAAGGGATTATGCCAGGGTATGAATTCCTGCTTATTTTGGCCAGTGACCATTCACCTGAAGGTGGGAGTATAACTGAAGTAGTCATGATAATTAACTCCTCTGTGTCTTGAGATGTACAGTTAAGAAATCAAATCATGCATCAGTGGTGTTCTTTTCTCCCCATTGCACATTTCTCACAGAAATAAAGAATTCAGAACTGGGCAGCTAACATGTTTGGACAGGGGATCAACACAACACACAAAGCTAACCAAAATAAAAGGGACTGTGGCCATTGGAAAGAGAAAATGTACCAGCATCAGTGGGAGTACACAATGCTTCATCACAGGTGTCAGTGAAAATGAATTGTGGCCATTGTTGGTGTCATTGGGTGGAAAGAATTATGCCCCATTGTTGGTGTCACTGAAAGGAGGAACTATAACCCCTCGCAGGTGGGAGAAATTGTGCCCCTTCACTGGTGCAGGAAAGGGGGGGGGGGGTGGATTATGCCCTACCATTGGTGTCAGAAGATGAAATATTGCCCCCAGGGCTAGATAAAGACAAGCCAAAAGGGCCGCCACAGTTTGAAGACCACTGCAGTACTGAGACTGAGCTCTACAGACACTTTTGCAGCAGTTGTTTTCCTATTCTGGGTCACAATCCCACGCAATGTGCTTTTGTATCCTTTGGTCCATTGGCCATGTCAGCCGTGCTTATGCTTATCAGACATTTTTCCAAAATATGTGCATGCTGTTATAACCTTTGATACTGTACATCGCAACATAGCAAATAAACTGGCAACTTCACTCACAGAGGCACCAGCTAAGCGGCACCAACAATTTTCCTCTTTGAGGCTCAGTAACATGACTCCGTATTACTAGCAGTGCACGCCGTAAATGAGAATAGTGAGACTTCGCACTTGTTAGCTAGGTGTCTCATTACACAGTGGAAGCAAAAGAATGTTACATCACTTCCGCTTTCAAAAGAGAAACATGTGGTCACGTTCACACCTGTAAACATGTAGGGTTTCCATTTTTTTTTTTGGCTAACCCCTGTACTTCCGCATCCCTTTCCATTGGAATATTCCCATTTTCCTCTTGTGCGCCATCAGTTCTGCTTCTGTTAACACTGAGGAGAAGAAGGGGGAGAGAAGTGGGGGATGCGTCCACTTGCGATCGAGGCAGGCCATGGCAGCAAGTATTCTGAAAAGCTGCTGCTATAGTCCAGTGACAGCAGATGAGAATTCCTCCCTTATCACAAAAGAACTGGAGGAAGGTGCCCTGGGAGGTAGCAGAGATACCAGATAGATATCTGGTAGTCAGAATTGCATGGGGCAGTCTAATGCCAAGGGGATATATTGCATGGAGCTGTGCCCAGGCTCTTCCCTGCCTGAAGGTATTTGGGACCCCTGACCCCCTCCTCTGTTCCATCAATAAGACATGGCCTGCTGTAAACAGTGGCCCAAGTCAGAAAAGTGGGTACTCGAGTCAAATATGCACCAGTGCGCTAGTTACCCTTGCAAAAATGTCTCTAAATCTGATAGAAAACACCCCCGTAAGGAAAAGTGGTGTGGCCTCTCTCAATATTTGCTGCAACCTATATTCTCACAAGGAAAGCTCTGCTGTGACCTGTAGTACCTCAAGACACCACTAGCTGTCCCAGAGCCCGTGCGGCTCACATGGCGTACAGATGGTTGCCGCCCACTTGTGATGTCACAGTCATATTAAACCTAGTTTGCCTCCGAGTGAATGCAGGGGGCGGTGAACACACTCTGCCTCCTGTATTTGGTGTTCATATCCCCCTAGACCTCCCCTGAGCTCTGCAACAGCTATGTAGTGCTCAGAGAAGCCCAGGAAGCTGAAGTATGCACAAGCATTACACAGATTAAAATAAACAGTAAAAATAAATAGTTTAGAGAGACATGATCCTGTCCTATCCCCAGTCCATGCTGTAGGACCCCCTAGGGGGTCCAAACTTCACCCATCGCAGGGAACAATGCCACAAGGGCCTTCAGGGATTAAACTCCACAGCCGAGGATCATTGCCCCAAATCTGTACCACACCCTACTAGTTCACAAAGCAAATATTGTGCAGGGTCCTGATCCACAGTGTCCAGTGCTAACCATCAATGTTACAGGCTCTCCCTGCACGTCCAGAGTAGAGCCCAGGTACTATTCTTTGCAGCGTAGAAAAGCTGTAAAAACATGGATCTGTAAAAAGCTAGTCTCCTAATCCTAGATGGAATCACTGAGAATATAGATACTTTTTTTGTGCACAGACATGACCATCACGTAAGATACAAGCAAAAAAACTGAAGTCTTGCCTAAAGAGAGGCATTATGCCTAGGAGGGAATTTCCTGTCTTTTTTTTGCCAGTGTCCAATCGCCTGAAAGTGGAAGCATAACCACCTAGTGTAATGGAGATGAAGATACCCTGTGTCCTGGGATGTAGGATAAAGAAAGCCGAGTGAGAGATTAACATATCAACATATACTGCTTCTCTTTCCACTGTCCAGTCACAGGCTGGGGAGGACAAGACCACAGCAGAGAAAATCAAGTCTCCTGTCCTAACAGACAGTACTGTGCTGAATTAGCAATTGTAGCTCTGTATGCACTGACAAAGGATGGGTGCCGGAAATATCAGGAGCATAGATCCAAAGCATTTTAGTTAGTGAGTGTTTTCTTTCAAAGTGAACCTGTTAGGATAGAAATATAAATGCTACTATTCAAATGTTAATAGCCTGGCTGTCATGTTGATTCACTTGCTTCTGCCCAATCAGTCGCTGACATGGAACAAGAATGCAGGAGATTTTCACTGATTGCATGCTTTTCCAAGGCAATGACTAAAAATACTAAAGCTAGGGACAGCCATACAACCAATATTGTGACAAGCAGGTCAGCAATGACAACACATCTCAGTACAGGTTTCGTTTGAAGCAGAATTCCAATCTACTAACTTTGGACAGAATGAAAGGGTTAGAGAACCTCTTGTTTTTTTATTTGCATTCCTTAAGCCATTACAATGATCCTCCTTCACTTCCTGTTTGGTCCCTGTGACCACAAGTGAGCAAAATCTCTCCAACAGAGAGACAAACCATAATAAACTATGTTTAAAACTGTAGGAAAGGGTAAGTATACCAAATAAAGTATTGCTGTCTGTGTCCCTGTTGGGGACATCAAGCCTTCCAGATTTTCCCCAAAAATAAAAATGTATTTTTGGGTAGAAACATTAACCTTTTCATGGGCTAGGATGATAGATGAGATGATGATTGGCCAAAAATACCAAACGGTTTATCAAATATTTTTATTACATTACTTCCTGCAAACACAATGTAAACCCTTTTTGTTACATACTCAGGTTTGTAAAAGTGATCAAATAACATATACAGTTAACAGCTGATTTAGGAGATCAAATTTTAAACAAAGATAAAGTCTGTGTTCCTCTGAGTTTGTTTAAACCTACCATGACATGTGATACATGCCTTTAGTGTGATTAGTGCACCCAGCTCTTTGTATCCAAACCATCACTACATTATCAGCTTATTAAAACACATTATTGTTAAATGGAAAGTTGACTTTGCTAAACTCTAGAAGCCCAGAGGTAATAAAGCAAAAAACAGACGTTATTTAACCTTCACAACTTACACTGCTTTCTCAACTGCACCGACTTCACTGGACATCCCAAGGCCATAGTAACACAGTGCTCCAAGACCAACAACAGCACCTCCAGCAACAAATAACCTACCTGTTGCATCAACTGAAAGAAAAGAAAGGAAAATATCTTAACTCAGTGTTGAAAGATGTCTTCTAAGTTATAAATGTAGACAGAGGGTATGGAAAAAAAAGAAAAGAAAAAAAGAAAAATATTTTACCAGGAGGATTTCCCTCAGCTACTCCAGGAGATCAAAGCAAACCAAGCACACATGGCACTTCTGTCAATGATGGCCATCTGGGGCAGAAGTGTGCAAAAAAAAAAAAAAAAAAAACATCACTTCTGCTCTGTGTTTCACACATCAGAACCCCTACCACTCTGCCATCTATCATTCTTAGTAGGGGCACCAGTCTGCCTTGTTGCGGCTGCTAGAAGCACATCTGTGGTAGGAGCATCTCCTGCTTATGCATTGTCCAGCTACACTATATTGCCAAAAGTATTGAGGTACCTCTCCAAATCATTGGATTCAGATGTTCCAATCACCTCCATGATCACAGGTGTATAAAATCAAGCACCTAGGCATGCAGATTGCTTCTACAAACATTTGTGAAAGAATGGGTTGCTCTGAGGAGCTCAGTGAATTCAAGCGTGGTACAGTGATAGGTTACCACCTGTGCAATAAGTCCATCTGTGAAATTTCCTTGCTACTAAATATTCTACAGTCAACTGTTCATGGTATTGTAACAAAAAAGGAAGCAACTGGGAACAACAGCAACTTAGCCATAAAGTAGTAGGCCATGTACAAATGACAGTGGGGTCAGCACATGGTGAAGTGCAGAGTACACAGAAGTCACCAACTGTCTGCAGAGTGGACTATAGAGCAGTGGAGACGTGTTCTCTGGAGTGACCAATCATGCTTCTCTGTCTGGCAATCCAATGGATGTGTCTGGGTTTGGCAGTTGCCAAGAGAACGGTACTTGCCTGACAGCATTGTGCAAAGTGTGAAGTTTGGTGGAGGGAAGGGGGGGGGGGGGGGGGGGGGAGGGGCGGATTATGGTGTAGGGTTGTTTTTCAGGGGTTGGGCTTGGCCTCTTCGTTCCAGTGAAGGGAACGTTTAAGGCATCAACATACCAAAGACATTTGTACAATTTAATGCTCCCAACTTTGTGGGAAGAGTTTGGGGATGGCCCTTTCCTGTTCCAACATGACTGTGCACCAGTGCGCAAAGCAAGGTCCATAAAGACATGGATGAGCGAGTTTGGGGTAGAGAAACGACTGGCCTGCACAGAGTCCTGACCTCAACCTGATAGAACACCTTTGGGATGAAATAGAGTGGAAACTGTGAGCCAGGCCTTCTCACCTGACATCAGTGCCTGACCTCACAAATGCGCTTCTGGAAGAATGGTCAAACATTCCCATAGACACACTCTGAAGCGATGAACCCGAAGGACTAAGACTGGGATGCCATTAAAGTTCATGTGTGAGTAAGGGCAGGCGTCCTAATACTTTAGGCATTATAGTATATGTCCTTCCCTCTGCAGGACTGAGCTGTCAAACTGCCAACTCAGTACTGCAGATTAGAATGGGAGATCCCATCTCTTCCCATTTAACCGGAGGCAGTGTGATAGCTGCCCACTGTGTATATGGAGATATGTTGATTATACTGGAAGAGCTGCATCATTTTGATAGCTAAGGTCTTACTTTGCACTCAACATTTTTGTCACTTATTTTTCAATATGGCCTTCTTTACCTGCTTTTTTTCTACCAATTTTTAATAAATGGTTTGTATGCAGAAAGCTTTTCATCAGAAACAGGATTCTAGCACCTGTATAAAAGGGTAAAATATATTGCAGAATAAAAAATATGCAGTGGGGGAAAGGGTATGGTGTACTTTATTATCCTTTCCTTGCTTTCCAGCAGATCTTGTACAGGGGCACACTTCACAAGGAAGGGCATAGTCTCCAACAAGAGACTAGGTGCAAATGTGGTTGGACCATGTTCTCTTGTCCCCTGAACCCAGTAGAAACAAAAAATCCTTGTGCTTTTACAAGCTTATCTAAATATTTAAAAGCCATACTCCAGCAGGCTCCCTATATCTGTGCGACTGCTCTCAGCTCTAGTTTGTGGCTGGTCGCTCCCCATCCTCATGTTCAATGGAGGCCTATTGGCCCTGAATTTTACTTAAAGAGGTCTGCATGCGACTAACTTGAAGCATCTTACAGAAGAGGCTTTGAGGAATCAGGCAAACATGATAGTTTTGTATCTCACAGAGTTGGGATTTAAAAAAGCAATGCTGAAATATGAAAATCAGGGGACAGACAAAAAAAAAAAAAAAAAAAAAAAAAAAAAAAAAAAAAAAAAAAAAAAAAAGAGACCCTGTCAACAGACCCCACTTTTTAAACACTTGCAGTGGAAGAGAACAACTCATTGTTTCCCTAGAGTTCTGCGAGAGGTCCCCAGGCGTTCCTCCATGATCTTCACATCAGTCACAAGGCAGCTGACAGGGAGATCACATCCCCCACATGCCAAGCGGTGCTGGAAACGAAAAGGTATTTTCAGTGTTCCCTGCCAGCCCCTCCTCCCCTCCTGTCCACCTCAGGTGCTTGTATCTGACATTACCTGGGATGGACAGGAATAGAGGCGAAGAAAAGATTCCAGCCGCTTTCCTGCCAAGCTCAGAGTGTGATGGAGACCTGAACTATAAAGCATCGTGCATGCAGAGCTGTGCCCCATAATATGGCCCATATCATGCAGAGCTGTGCTGTGTGCCCCATTATGTGCCCTGCTTCCATGTTATGTGCCCTGTTTTCCCCTCATTAAGTGTGTCCTCCTGAACCCCGTACACGGTTTATCTCAAGGTGGACCCAGAACGGAGCATCACTGCATAAAGAAAAAAAAAAGAAAAAAAAAAAAAAAAATCACAAGTATCACATTAAATAGGTAATTTTCAATATTTTATATAATGTGATTTCTAAAAATAATCGTTGTTGAGATCTCAATCTTTTTCCAGAGGTTCCTCAAAGGTACAATATGTTGAGAAACACTGGAATAACTACTTACAGAGTGCTTCAATTCTTCCTTAATGTGCAACTAAAAGGTGCAGTTTTGTTTTTTTAAATAATAAACATTATACTTTCCTGCTCTGTGTAATGGTTTTGTACAGAGCAGCCCTGGTCCTCCTCTTCTTGGGACCCCCGCCGGCATTCCTGGCTCCTTTTCCCTGCCGCCTGTGTGTCCATGAGATGGCAATGGCTCCTGCTGCTGTATCTCAGCCAATGAGAAGACAGAGACTCAGGAGAGCTGAGGCTCCCATGCACATCACTGGCTCACGATTGGGCTCAGTTCTGTATTAGGGGAGGCTGAGAGGGAAGCTGCATACAGGTAATGTTTTAGCTTCATGCATGGAATGCATGAAGGTGAAAAAACCTTCAGCCTTTACAACCACTTTACATTTTTTTTAATATTTTAGTATATTTAGTTACTGTAGATGCTCACTTTCCTTGTGCGAATTTCGCAGCTCACCCTCTGGTATAAGAGCTGAGACTGACAGTAAGAGCGACCACACAGAACATAGATAGCAATAAGCGTCAGAATTATACACACAGACAAGTGATGGAATGAAGAGGAGAGAGCAGAAGCTGGGACTGGAACTGACTAACACCCAACATTGCTGAAACAGTCAGATCCTTGCAAACCTTGCATTGCTCAGAACACTGAAAAAAGCAACCATTTGTGCAATCTGTGAATAATTGTTATTCTCTACTGCTGCAAGTGTTTAAAAATAAACCTAGTGACAGGTTCTCTTTGATGGTATAACTTACAACGAGCTGCTGTTTCCATTGATGGTTCAAATGCAGCCTCCTTGATCTCCTCACGTGCAGATTTACCACGACGTAATCCAAATCTAGTTTTAGTACTATAACCCTAGTTAAAGAGAAGCAAGTCATTAGTGTGAGTTATCATTGAGGAAACCACCAATTGTGTGTGTATGATTATCATAAGCATACAAAGAATTCTGTGGACACCAGATCCATACAAAATGTGCCCATTATGACAAAAACATACCAAACAATGCATATTTGATCAATTTTCTCTTTCCTTAATTTACATGGGCCGGCATGGACACACATGGTTGAAATGTCCCAGCACGGAATCTATCTCCCTACTATATACTACTGCACCACCATTCCCTTGCCAAAGGAAATACTGGCAGACAGTTTTAGATGCTCTTACAAGATTTTGCACGGCACTAATACACACTAGATGGCATACAGCAACCTAGATTCACTATTGCCTCTGACGCACACTAGTGATTTCTCAGCCACTACACTGACGCGCACTAGCCTACGTTCCACTGCTGCACTGACACACACTAACCTGCTCCCCACAACTGCACATCTCCCTACTCTGTACTGCATTAGTAGCTAGCAATAATCTAAAAATCAAAAGGAAACTAACACGTTTGCACATGACTATTACAGAACACATTAGGTAGCTCTGAACACAATGGAGGTAGAAGAATAATTTTGGGACCATTATTTGGGTTTAATTCTAAATTAATAATCTGTAAACGTTTTCAATCTGTTGGCCATTTATAATTTGGGGTAATATAACTTTATTCCGATTCCCAAATACACATTGTACTTCCAGAAAGTACATAGCCTTATATTTTTTAGTAAATTTTCAACTCACATTGTGCATTGACACTTCTAAGATTGGTCCAACAATGAAATTCCAGTTACTAACTTTTTTTTCCCCATTTTTTTTTTTTAAATTGCTGTCTGCATTCCAAGTGAGGAGCTTTCCCTTTACTTCCGGTCTCAAGATCACAACATCACCAGGACAGGAAATCGCTCTAAATGGGGACCGACAAGGCAACAGCATTTTTTGTTTAAAAACAGTGGGTACACATTAAAACCTCTCTCAAGTCATTAATGTTGTGTCTATCTAGATGTAATCCGTTTCCCTCATTTCTTTTTCTTATCGCACAGAACTAAAGTGAGGGAAAATCTCTGTGGTCACAGATAGCCTCAGATTCCTGACAAAGAAATCATTTCCCTACTTATTACAAACCTAAAGCACACACCTGTCCCTGATGTCAATGCTTTAAGAGCCTAGTTTACCATTTGAAAAAGAAAACAAAAAAAAACCCAAAAAACAATAAATGCACCTTTTTTTCCTGTAGAAATACGTACATTATTTTTTCACAGGAGCCTGCAGAGCATTGCACTCATGATCAATGGATAAGGGGTGCAATGCCAGGTTCCTGCACACACTGCCTGCATCACTGTTCCCCATACCTCTGTACAGGCTGTTACAGAGCCGTATGCACTGTGAATGGCCTACAAGCGTGCTGATTAGCCTTAATCAGAAAAGCAAACACTGGACCACAGTTCATGAACTTTTCTCCTTCCCCTTGTTTTGTCCTGATGGGGGGATGCTTTGCTATGCTCTTATCACCTTTGGAATTGGCTCCTGCTGACATCTTTTTGTAAGTGCAATGACATTATTCGTATCCAAACTCTGTTTGTATATATACACCTGTATACATGACATTTGATACACTTGCACTATAATTTTTGTGTTGTATTTCATTCTGTAGGTAGCAGTCCAAATTATGCATTTTTTTCTCCTGAAGAAGCAAAATACACAAGCATGTCAAGCCTTATGGATGGTGGCGATTTCTGGATCATCATATCTCTAGTACTAACTGGACATTGTGTACCTTCATTTTGAGTATATGGCCACCAACTAAATTGATTTAAGAGTGAAAGAAGTTTTTAATTGTGCATTAATAAAGATAGTATAATTTTGTGATAATTTTTGGTGCCTATAAAGTCCATGGTCTGTGGTCCATTGTTTGATTCTTACATTAAACCAAATTAAAGGATGAGGCATCTTTGTATCTGTTAGGGTAACGAGCACTCAAACATTTTCACCTGCAGTGATCTACTTTCCTTTTAATCAATCATTTGTGTAGTATATTGGTTGATTAAGATATATATATTTATTACACACACGTACGTATCATTCTTGGACAGGCCAGTGAATCTTTGCTACGTTAATTTTATGCTAGGTCACCCTGATATTTGGGGAATAGCCAGTTTCCCTAATTAGACATTTCAAAGGGTACACGGTTTACATATTTAAGGGTGATAAAGAATGTGATTTGACCATACAAGATTTATTGATGGTAATTAGACTCAAGGGGGAATTCATGGGAAATGGTGAAAGGGTGACTTGTGTACCTGGTAAACACTAACGTGACCTTGTTTTTTACAGTAATGGCAAGTGAAGTCTTTTCATGTAAGATCAAAAGTGTTTTGTATATCACGGGAAGTTATTTTGGCTGGGAGGGGAGCTTCTTCCTTTCATTAATATGGAGGCACAGGTATAGATCATAACTCACATTATTGCATGCATGGAAGCTACCTAGATGCATATTATAGATTGAACATATGCTGGACAGTGTAGTATCTCCATGCTTGATATGAAGTATCTTAAATGGGACTCTGAGGACTGTTCGTTGTAATATTTACAAGTATTCAGCTGAATTTCTGTCACCTGTTGCAAATATCTTTATCAGAATAAATGCATCTCTCTGGAAAAGAATTGTTGGACTAGTTGCTGCGGGAAAGTACATTTATAAATATACACTCATCATCCGTCCACACGATGAGACAATTTGTAGAACTACAAGCTGTCTCGCGCAGTGACAGATAGGACTTGTAGTTTTCTCATTCAGACTCCTGTGAATAAATGACGTGGCTGTGGAGAGGAACCCTTGACCGCAGTCAAGGGGAAGGGAGGGGAAGTAAATCTGGAGCAGGTTACACAGTACACCCTAAACATAGGTGTAACATACACCACACTCCAAAAGACGAACATATCGTATATTGTTTCAACCTGGAACCTGCGTTTAAAAAAAAAAAAAAAAAAAAAAAAAAAAAGAAAGAATTCTGACATTTACAGCATGCTTGTTCCAAGTCTGCCACTAAAGGATTTGAACCCAAACACCTAGTATTTTCAAATGAAAGCCAGAGATGGCAGTACCCATACTCTTCTCACAACAGAAGTACTAGAAAAGGGTTTGAGCTTCAATATGCCAGATTAGTGGCTAGCAAATGTTAAGTTAACTCCTTTTGGTGGTAAAGAACAAATAAGACACACTCTTACCTGGTTAGGTTGAATGAGCCATTGTCTTGTTTTGAAAGGGGAACTCCTGAGAGCTGGAGAGGCCTGAGTCAGAGTTGGTTGGGCAAGGGTAGGAAGACCCCTAAGGCATGCCAGCCTTGCAGCAAACATCTTGTATCAATCTATGCAGATCTAAAGCAAAAAAGAATGAATACATTTCTTGTTAGATAGTAGCCCTTAGAGTAATTTTGCCCTCGCTGTCTGTCCCGGAGACCTTTGTCACTAGGTCAGAACATGAAGGGAAATTAAAAAATGTTTGTCACTGTCACCGGAAGAACAATTCCAGGAGAACTATTCCAATGGGAAATGTAAACAGGGTTTTCCCCTACTTCATACTGCATCTCTAGGACAGGAGATAAAGCTGCATCTCTATGTGAACAGGGTCTAAAACTGAATGCACAGACTCAAACCCAAAGCCAGTCGAAACAGCACCTAAAGTTTTGGTTTGACGCCACCATATACAGTCATCAATTCACAACCAAACAGAAAAGAACTGGAGCAGACAAAATCTGGAACTGATATGCATGGCAACCAATCAGCTGCTATATTTAATTTTTAAAGTATAACAGAACAAGCTGAAGACAGAAACCGACTGGTTGCCATATGCAACTACTCCAGATTCTTGGAGGAATCAATTTAGTATTCTGCTAGGTGTTTCTCACAGTCACAAGCTATCATGAGGAGTAGATTGTTGGAAGCTCTTCTGCTTGCTTCGGTAGGAGCATTATTTTGGATTCATTTATGGACATCTTAAAGGATAAGATCACCTTTGGAAACATATAAAATTTTTATTACAGGTACTTATACAGTACCGTCACTTATGCTGCGCTTTACACACACTATATACACTCACACGTTCCTAACCCTCAAGGAAAGTACAATCTAAGGTCCCTAACTCATATTCATACATACATATGCTAGGGCCAATTTAGACAGGAAATAATTAACCTACCATCATGTCTTTAGAGGTGGGAGGAAACTGGAGTACCCAGAGGAAACCCACGCAGGCACAGGGAGAATATGCAAACTCTAGGCCGGTTGGTGCCATGGTTGGGATTCGAACCAACCACTCTAGAACTGCAAGGTGGAAGTGCTAACCGTTTAGCCACTGTGCTGTCCATGTTCCCAATGCTGCAGCCACCACCCCCTCCTTGTGACAGAAATATGGGGAGAAGTTTGCCGTACTATTGTCACACTTCGTCCCTCCAGGAGGGCGTCATATGACGTCTTTTCCGGATCGCAATTTGCGCGTGTCCGCAGGGCCACACTGTGGTGAGATCTGTCACCAGTCGTGTACCTCAGACATGGCTGACGACAGATCTGTGTACCGACCCTGTTGCCAGTACCATGTGACCTGTTGTGACCAATCACAGCAGGTCACATGACAGTTGTATACAATGGATGGCTTCCTTTCATGACATCCAACTGTGTCTAGCTGTGAATAGTCACAGAGATCACATGCACAGGCTGGGCCAATCACTGCCCATTTGTGTCATGTGATTAGTCGTTGCCAATCACAGCTAATCACAACAAAAAAAACCTGAATGAATCAATTTCATTCAGTTAAATGCTTGCTTATAGCAAATAAATTCTTTGCAATAAGCAATAACAATTGAGTACTGTCCGTGATACTTTAGGACCTGAAGAAGGGGACACTCCCCAAAAGCTTGCCCTCAAAATGGTTTGTTAGTGCAAATGAAAAAAGTATCACGGACAGTACTCAACTGTTTCTGCCGCAAATGCACTAATACGGCTACAATCACCTCATTGCTATAAGCAATCAAATTGTGTAAAAAAAAAAAATACTGATCACTTTCCCAAAGTACTATTTGTTACTATGGTAACATTATACTACTTTGGTCATAGTTCAATACAAAAAAAAAAAAAAAAAATCTTAAAAAAGAAAAAAAAAAAATAATTATAATAAAAAATTAAAAACATTTTTTTTTTTTTTTTTTTACTGTCACCAGTCAGTGTCCCTGATCACCGCCACACCAGTTATGATGACGTTGTACTGCACTGGTGACAGTATGTAAAAAATGACTTTTTTTTAATTTTTTCATTTTCCAAACAATGACAAAAAAAAATTAAAACTTCAAAAAACTTGCAATGCCTCTTATGAAATATGCTGGACTGTCTACTTTGCAAAAAGGGGTCATTTGGGGGATATCTGTACTGTTCTGACATTTTTGGGTCTCCAAGAAATTAGATTGATAAAACAAAAAGTAATGTGGCGCTACTACTGTAGAAATCCTTCACATATTGACACACTGAATTTGCATAAATAAGTGAAATAGTGCAAATGAGTGAACAAAGACCAAATCAACAATACATAAACTGTGATGGACAACAGTGTAAAGTTACCTCACACAATAACACGTGTAACAAGTGCCAACCAACAGGTCCAATTAGGGACCAAGCTTAGGATGATAATGCCCCAAACGATCCAAATGGATCCAATAGTGATCAACAGACAACATAAAAAGTCCAAAAAGGGAGGTTTGCACTATTTCACTTATATTTATTCAGTGTGTCAATATGTGAAGGATTTATATGGTAGTAGCGCCACATTACTTTTTGTTTTATTTTTCATACTTGTCTATAGGTATATAACTGAATGTTGGCAGCTTTACCTCTGATTAGCTGAAAAGGTTTTAGTTAGGAGCGCAGGAGGCTATCACATTTGTATAAGAAATTAGATTTGCTGTCAGTACTTGAGGATTGATCAATTTTCAGATATATCCCATTGTGACGTAAGTGACTTTATCTGGAGGGGGGGGGCTCATGGAACCCAGCTTACTTTGCAGAGGTTGGGAGACCCCTGTCTCAGCTTCCCATATCCCTCTTATGTGCAAGTCACCCTGTGTCTCTTAGGGGCAAAGGGTGACTAATGGACGCTGAGAATGCAGTTGGAATTACTTCACATGGGACAGTAATATTTATCAGCTATATGAAGACTATTCCTGGCTGTTGATTCTAAACTACTGTAGACAGGTGACTTGAAAGAGTGGATTACACTGACCTCTCCTCTACCCCAGTGTAGGAGCCAGACCTTCTGCTCTATAGTGAGATCTTAATTCATCAAACCATTGTCTAGGTGTGAATTCCCATTCACCTTTTGTTTTGATCACCCAGATAGCTAACCTAATTAACTAACTTTAAGTCTATTTCTGTATATAGTTGTGGTTTGCATATGATCATGTGATCAGTCTCAGTGTGTAGTGTATAAAAAAAGCCCATGAGTTTAAAAGAAAGAGTTCCATGTTCAGACAGACTGGTGTCGTCTAGTCTTGTATGGTCGGCTGTGGTGTCTGTTGTCGGTGTTCGGATGGGGAAGCGGTATTCTAACGGAAGTACTCAAGCTCAGTCTGGGTCGGTCCTGTTACACCCATATTTTGTGAACTCTATAACTTTCCTACAGACTAAATAATAAATACTGATTTGGGTTATTTTCACCAAAGAAATGTAGCAGAATAGATCTTGGCCTATATTTATGAAGAACAATTATTTATTTGCAAACTTTTATAACAGAAACATAGAAAAACGTGGGTTTTTTTTTTCAAAACGTTCTGTCTTTTTTTGTTAATTTAGCAAAAAATAAAAACCCCAGTGGTGATTAAATACCACCAAAAGAAAGCTCTAGTTGTGTGAACAAAGTGATAAAATTTTCAGTTTCGGTACAGTGTTGCATGACTGCGCAATTGTCAAAGTGTGTGAACGCTGAAACCTGAAAATTGGCCTGGGCGGGAAGGGGGGTAAAAGTGCCCGGTATTGAAGTGGTTAAAAACAGCGTGGCCATGCGGGGCTCCACCCACACAGCCACATCAGTCAATGAACTACAAGTCCTGACATCCTTAACAGCTGTCGTCTTGTAGTTCTCAATTTACTGCCACTACCTGCTCAAATGCTAGAACATAAAAATATGTAACACCCACAATTTTATTGTCTAGGGCAGTGGTCTCCAAACTACTGCCCGGGGGCCGCATGCGGCCCCTTGCGTGTCCTTATCTGGCCCTTAGGGCACTTTTTCTCCCACTGACACCAACAATGGAGCATAATTCCTGCTACTGACAACAGTCACTATTCCTCTCACTGAAACAAACCATGGGGCATTATTCTTCCCACTGACACCAACAACGGGGCACTCTTTCTCCAACTTACACCAAAAATGGGGCGCTATTCCTCCCCTAATGCCAACGATTTATCGTTTACTCCCAATGATGCAGGACAATTTCTACTCCCAATGGCCATAGTCCAGCCCCCCTAAAGTCTGAAAGCCAGTAAACTGGCCCTTTGTTTAGAAAGTTTGGAGACCCCTTCTCTAGGGCCTCAGCTTACCCGCTGCCCTATAGTAGAACTACTGCTACAGAGCAGCAAGGGTTGTGCAAAATCATGTATATATACACGGGAATTGCATCTCCGGGTAGTGTGCGCTGACCTACCCACACTGCCATTGATGGCTAGGGATGTCAGTCACCGGATCCCAGCAGGCACTTGTCAGGGAAAGCTGACAGGTTAGAGACCTGTATGTAAACACCTACAAGTCTCTCTCCTGTCAGCATAGACACGCTGTTCTGTATCTCTCTGCACAGGAGAGAAATACAGCATGCCTCCCTAGTAAGAAAGAACAGCACACAGTTAACCCTTTGATTGTCCCAGGTGTTAACCCCTTCCTGCTCACCCAGTGTCAGTGCTTTTTATTAGCACTGATCACTCTATTGGTGCCACTGGGGGTGACAGTCAGTCCTCCCCCCGTGTCAGAATGCCCGCCGCAGTCCGCCACCATTACCAGTATAAGCAAATACATTTTAAATTCCAGTATCTATACCGCCATTTGTAAACGCTATAACTTTCACATAAAACAATTAATTTACATGTATTGGGATTTTTTTTTTGTAGCAAAGACATGGAGCAGAATACATTTTGGCCTAAATTTAAGAAAATATATTTTATTTTTATTGGATATGTTTTATAGCAAAAAGTAAAAAATTGTTTTTTTTTTTTCAAAATGGTCAGTCTTTTTTTGTTTATAGCGCAAAAAATAAAATGCAGAGGTGATCAAATACTACCAAAAGAAAGATCTATTTGTGGGAAACAAAAGAACATAAATTTAATTTGGGTGCAGGGTTGCATGACGCGCAATTTTCAAAGTAACGCAGCGCCGTAAAAAAATGTCCTGGTCAGGAAGGGGGGGGGGATCCTCTGGAGGGCAAGGGAGTAAAAAATGTTTGCGGGTCCCAAGCAGTTTTCTAGCAAGAAAATACTAAATTTTCCATGCAGAGATGAATGCCCGGGCTGGAACTGGTTAAAGTGGCGGTATCAAGAACTACCTGAAGTTGCTGCGCGTCAGGAACGTAAGGGCTTGTTCACACTTGACTACATTTCTAACTCTTCAAAAGCGCCCCTTTAGCGTTAGACTGACGTTGAAGAGCTTTAGTATAGGAGTTCTACAAGCATTAAAAATGCTCCCCAAAAGCCCTATGCACGGTTTTGCCGTGTTTTATAAGCGTTAAAGCTGCACTACAAATGCCTATAATAAACTTTTATTGTATTAAACTCCCTGCAAACACCTACCAGGCATTTAAGGAGCGTCACTACAGATTTGAATGGGAAACGTTGAAAAGCTTTAACTCTTCCTGACTCAACATCAGGCTTAAATTTTGAAGTGACGCAACATGTTTTGCTAATGTGAACAGCACTGTGCGTTGCCCAAAGTATCCTTTCCGTATGCATTTGAGCAGTGTTAAAAATGCCCAAATGCCTGCTTTCACAGCCAGTGTGAACTAAGCCTTACCGACTTGGCGGAACTAGAGAGAGAGTGCTGGCAGAGCCATTCTGAACTCCCTTGTCTGCGCCCCCTCTGAGACCACAGTCAGGAGAGTGCTGGAGCCATTCTGAACTCCCTTGTCTGTCTGCGCCCCCCCTCAGGAGAGTGCTGGCAGAGCCATTCTGAACTCCCTTGTCTGTCTGCGCCCCCTCTGAGACCACAGGCAGGAGAGTGCTGGCAGAGCCATTCTGAACTCCCTTGTCTGTCTGCGCCCCCTCTGAGACCACAGGCAGGAGAGTGCTGGCAAAGCAATTCTGAACTCCCCGCGTGTGTGCTCCCCCTCTGAGACCACAGACAGGACAATGAATATAACAAGCACAAACTAATACAATATGGACTATTCTACACAGACTACAGGAGAAGCAAAGCACAATTACCTCCTATATACAACACCAATCACAAGAACAAACACTACACTTCCGAATACATACGAACACACACTCACGCTGCACCAATACGACACTACCGGTTCGCCTCTGATGTAACTGTGAGCAACCTTCCCGAACGCTCCCCAGGTACAAGTTCCGCTATACGGGGAATGCCGGGAAACGTAGTTTTCTTTCACTCCCCCAGCGGCCCGGAGTGAGGGAGAAGAGACCGGCTATAAACTACAACTCCCACAAAATCTTACGGCACCAACACCGCCTCCTCTGTGAAGGGCACCGCGCGGGGTTATGTAACCTATCCTGCGCACTTCTGCCTTCTGGTCATCGGCAGATTCAACAGCATCATATGTGATAATAAAATATATCCAAAATATACATAAAACACAGAGAGATAAAATAGAGCAAAATAATACTAATGCATTTTTTATTTCATAATAAAAGAGATCATACAGAAACAAAACACCAAAAAGATAATACATGCGAGATAATAAAAGAATCATCGTTTTTTATTTAACCACTTCCTATCCGGACACTTTTACCCCCTTCCTGTCCAGGGCAATTTTCAGCTTTCAGCGCTATCACACTTTGAATGACAATTGCGCGGTCATGCAATACTGTAGCCATATGAATTTTTTACCATTTTTTTGAGACAGATAAAGCTTTATTTTGGTGGTATTTATTCACCGCTGGGATTTTTTTTTTTTTTTGCTATGTAAATGAAAAAGTCCAAAAATTTTGAAAAAAAGTGTTTTTCTTATACAATTTTGCAAATAAATAATCTTTCATCATAAATCTTGACCAAAATGTATTCCGTTATATTTTTAGAAAAAAATAACCAAAAATTATAATTTTTAAATTTTTTTTTTTACATTTTTATTTTATTTTTTTATATTATTATTTATGTTTTTTTTTTTACATACTGTCACCCTAGCAGTACAGTGTCACCATGGTGACACTGTACTACTTGTGGGGGGTGATGAAGATTTTTTTTTTTTACAGTGATTGCTTTTACCCCCCATATAGGATGTAAAAGCAATCATTTCTCTTTCTCTCTGTCTGCATTCTTGCAGCCATTGAGAAATACTGAGTGAGCTGTGATTGGTCACACCTTGTCACATGGTACAAGGCTGTTGTGAATAGCCTTGTACCATGTGACCTCTGTGATCATTCACAGATTTCACACGTAGTAAGCAATGATGTCACAAGTGACATCTTGCTTACTACTTTGCATGTGATCACTGATTGGCCAATCAGTGATCACATGATCGGGACCTCGTACAGATGTCCCGCCCGACGATTGGTGTTTCACTGTGTCCGGAGGACACAGCGGGCACCGGATCGTGGTGCTGCGCGCTCCCAGGGAGCGCGCACAGCTAGAAAAGGCGGGTGCCGTTTATGAATGGCAACCCGCCCCTGGAGTGCCACCTCCATGCCGTTTATAAGCAGCAGGCTACCGGCAAGTGGTTAAGTGTCATCTTTGTAGCAATATATAGCAAATGTTGCAGCTACATATGCAGGCTCTGCTTTGCATTTTTTTTTACATTTTTCAATTAAGCAGGGTTATTATTATTATAATAATACGGGACTTATATAGCGCCAACTGTTTACGATATAAAGGTTATAACCCCTCCCAAGTTTTTTTTTTTGCCATTGAGGAGACTTCCCTTCACTTCCTGTCCCATAGCCAAAGCAGGAAGCGAAAGGAAATCCCAACAAAGTGAGGGAAATTCCTAAAAAGTGAGAAGAAATCCCTACAAAGTGAGGGAAATCCCTGGTCTGATGTCCCCATTGGAAGATTCCCCCTGTATTACTGCACAGTTGCCAATATTTCAAAGTAGTTTTTTTAGGGAAGTATTTTTTTTTTCTGTGTATTGAAAGCCCCTGTAGGCAGAGCATGGACTTTAGGGGCGGGGCATTCATATATTTATGGGCAAGAGGGTTAATGTGTTACTAAACCCACAACAGTAAAATCAGTCTGTATATGCAGTAAAGCATGCTTGTTATACTCACTGTGGAACATAAGGGGTTAATCCTCCACAAAGTGTAAAAAGACCATTTGATCCTGACTTCTCTGTCCCTTCCCTTTTTCAAGCGACCACCTCTTGTCTCCTGATAAGACAGACTGAACGGTAGGCAATTGCACATGCTCGGGTTGGTGTGTATTGCTAGAGAGGTTTTTTTTTTTCTTGGGAGAGTGCATGTGATCAGCACAGGGCCAATCAGCACTGTCCAGACAGAGGTCAGGGGTTATGCATCCTCCTAGAGCAGAATGAAAACTCCTCCTACAAGCTTTAACCAGTGCTCTGCTGGACACTGATAGAAGTCACAAGACTGCTCTAACTGCTGATGGGAAAAGATATTTAGCAGTTCATATTTACTACAATAATTGCATTTCCATGTTGTGTGTACTGTGGGAGACCAGATATAGTGGATGCAGGGTCCTGGCGTTAGTAACACTTCAAAGTCATACTAAAGTCCTTTTTTTTTTTTTTTTTTAAATTAACAAACATGTCATACTTATCTACTCTGTGTAATGGTTTTGCACAGAGCACTCTGGATTCTCTTCTTCTGGGGTCCCCCGGCCGCACTCCTAACCCCTCCCTCCTGTCGGGTGCCCCTACAGCAAGTAGCTTGCTATGGGGGCTCCCAAGCAGGCACACTCACGAGGCATGGCTCTGCATGTCCATTCACACACAGAGCTGTGGCTCGGCCCCACCCCCTCCCTCTCCTGACTGGCTCACTGGCTGTGATTGGTTGACAGCAGCAGGAGCCAATGGCTCCAGCTGCTGCCTCAGCCAATCAGGAGTGAGAGTCCCTGGAGAATCAAGGCTCCCCTGGACAAAGCTGGATCGAGAGGGGGCTCAGGTAAGTGTTGGGGGGGTGGCTGGGGCTAGGGGCGCTGCTAAACAGGTTTTTTACCTTCATGCATAGAATGCATGAAGGCAAAAGAGATTGAGCCTTTTGAACCATTTCAATCATGTGCTTCCATCAGGGGCAAAAATGAAAGGGTTAATCATGTCCAGCCAGCAAGGAAAGGGTTAATTATGTACAGCCAGCCAGCATTTGCTAGCAATAATAGGGATCTTAAGATCTGCAGCCTGAGCGATGACTGCTGCGGGGGAGATCTGCTCAGCAGTGCGCTCACAGACCATCTCAGCTTTCTTTGAATGTCTCTCATCTTGCCTGTCCATGACCAGCCATCATTTCCAGGACAGAGCCCCAGATAAGGTGTTGTACTTCTACAGGGCGTCAGGGCTGCGCAAAATCATGTATATATACGTGATTTGCATTTCCAGGTAGGGATGTCAATCACCGGGCCCCAGACAGAAATTCCCTGCCTGCACCTGGCGATCATTAGGGAAAGCTGACAGGGGAAAGACTTGTGTGTAAATAACACAGGTCTCTATCCTGCCAACAAGCACATGCTGCTTTGTATTTCTCTGCACATGCGCACTAGCGTACACGTCACCACAACGCGGGCTATTTAAATCACCAACACAGTTTAGCCTATGCCTTCTGGTCTATAACGTCCTGTACTCCATAACCTGATTCTGTTGCCTGTATCTGATCTGACCCTAACTAAGAAAGAAATTCGCTTGCACCAACCCAACTTATCCCTGACTATCGCTCCTGTATCTGCACCTGACCTGGATCCTGGTTGCCGCCATACCTACCTGCTGCTGCACCTACGTTCCTGCACCCGCACCTGGCCTGCACCCTAGTTACTGCCATACCTGCCTGCTGCTGCACCCACATTTCTGCATCCGCCTCTGGCCTGCATCTGGATCTTCTGGGTCCTCATCTGCCTACCATCATCTCCAGACTCACCAGGCACTTGTGCCACTCTTGGCTCCGCACCCTCTGTCCCCACTATCAGGGGCTCTGAGCGGGAGTAGTAAGAGGACACCTCCTCTCCACGTCAGGCTTCCCAACCAGGTACGTGACACCATCTGTTGATAGTACAGAGCTCTAGGAGTCATTCTGCACATGCTCAGTTTGGTGTGTATTGCGGGAGAGTTTTTTCTTTCTTTGGGAGGATGAATGCGATCAGCACAGGGCCAATCAGCACTGTCCAGACAGAGGGTCAGGAGTTATGAAGCATCATAGGACAGTGACAGAATGAAACTCCTGCCACAAGCTTTAACCAGTGCTCAGCTGGACACTGATAGAAGTCACAAGACTTCCATATACTGCTGATGAGAAAAGGTATTGAGCAGTTTTTTATTTACTAAAATAATTGTATTTCCATATTCTGTGTAATGTGGGAGACCAGATAGAGTGAAGGCAGGGTTCTGGGTTTAGTAACACTTTAAGGGGTTCTTTACTGTTAGAGCAGTAAGGATGTGGAACTCCCTTTCACAGCTGTGTCAGTGGGGAGTGTAGCAACATATTTAGATGTGTTTTTGGCTATAAAAATAGGGGTTATTTACTAAGACTACATGGTGCAAAATCTGATGCAGCTATGCATAGAAACCAAACAGCATCCAGGTTTTATTGCCAAAGTTTAAATCAACAAGCTGCAGTTAGAAGCTGATTGGCTAACATGCACAGCTGAACCAGACAGATTCTGAGTGCACCAGTTTTAGTAAATCTTCCCCTATGTACAGGGATATGGATATTGAAATGAAACGATGGGGTTGATTTGCTAAAACTGGAGAGTGAAAAATCTGGTGCAGCTGTGCATGGTAGCCAATAAGATTCTAACTTCAGCTTGTTCAATTAAGCTTTGACAAAAAAAAAAAAAACTGGAAGCTGATTGGTTTCTATGCAGAGCTGCACCAGATTTTGCACTTTCAAGTTTTAGTAAATCAATCCCTATATATGTACCAATATAAACCTTTCATCAGCATAAGATGTGCATTAATCATGTACCTTTATGGTGTAATTTGTTTCCCTGTGTGCACAGCCAATACTGGTGTAAGTCTTCGCATTCCAGTGTCAACAGTTTCTGTTTGTGTTCAAACATGAGGCATGTAGCATGGCACATAGTTACATAGTTAGTCCGGCTGAAAAAAAAACACAAGTCCATCCAGTTCAACCATAAAAGGGAAGAAAAAAAATGTATAATTCTATACCCACAGTTGATCCAGAGGAAGGCAAAAAAAAACCCCTAGCAAGCATGATCAAATTTGCTCCTGCAGGGAAAAAATTCCTTGAGAGGCAATCAGATACTCCCTGGATCAACATTACCTATAAATGTTAGTATCCAGTTATATTATGTGTAGCTAGGAAAGAATCCAGGCCTTTTTTTAAAGCAATCTACTGAGCTGGCCAGAACCAACTCTTCAGGGAGTCTATTCCACATTTTCACAGCTCTTACTGTGAAGAAACCTTTCCATGTTTGGAGATTACATTTCTATTCCTCCAGACGTAAAGAGTGCCCCCTTGTCCTCTATGATGACCTCAGGGTGAATAGCTCTACACTGAGTTCACTATGTGAACCACTGATGTATTTATTCATGTTGATATCCCCCCTTAATCTCCTCTTTTCAAGGGAGAATAAATTAATTCCCCTACTTTTCTCATAGCTGAGCTCCTCCATGCCTCTTCTCAGTTTGGTTGCCCTTCTCTGTACTTTCTCCAGTTCCCCAATGTTTTTTTTTGTGAATTGGTGCCCAAAACTGAACTGCATATTCCAGGTAAGGTCTTACTAATGATTTGTACCGGGGTAATATGATCTCTCTCTCTCTCTGTCTGGAGTCTATACCTCTTTTAATACAAGAGAGGATTTTGCTCGCTTTAGAAACTGCAGCTGGGCATTGCATGCCATTATTAAGCTTGTGATCTACCAGAACCCCCAGATCCTTCTCCACCATTGATTCCCCCAGTTGTACCCCCCTAGTATGTATGATGCATTCACATTCTTAGTCCAAAAGTGAATAACCTTACATTTATCAACATTAAACCTCATTTGCCACATAGTTGCCCAATTAAACAGTGCATTGAGGTCGGCTTGTAAATTGGAGACATCCTGTAAGGACGTTATTCCACTGCACAGCTTGGTGTCATCTGCAAAGACTGAAATGGTATTTATAATCCCAGACCCTATATAGTTTTATAAATATATTAAAAAGTAAGGGTCCCAACACTGAACCCTGAGGTACACCACTGATGACCCCAGACCATTCAGAGTATGAATCATTAACCACTACTTTTTGAATACGATCTTTTAGCCAGTTTTCTATCCATTTATATACAGATTTTTTCAAGTCTGTAGATTTTACCTTACATATTAGCCGTGTGTGGGGAACTGTGTCAAATGGTTTTGCAAAATCCAAGTATACCACATCCACCGCAACCCCGCTGTCCAAGGTCTTGCTCACACCCTCATAAAAAGAAATCAGATTTGTTTGACTTCTGTCTTTCATGAATCCATGCTGTCTGTTGCTTAACCCCTTCACACATAAGAGTAAAACAAATCTTCATGCCTAAGCACAATTTTGCAACTTTGGCACGTGTTAGCAAAACCCTACATCACATCACAACCCTTCATCACAATTACTATGTGCATCCAGGTGGATTATACCTTGTTTTTTTAAATTGGGCTTTCATTTGGTGGTAAATGGAAATGGATATCTCCTGATTTATTTTTTATTATGAAAGAAAGACTGTCCCAAAATAGTAAAAAAAAAATTAATTTTTTTGTCACGGTGTGTCTGCAGAGCTGCCCCACCCCCCCTCCTAGTGCCTGTGTCCTGTGTGGCACTTACCTTCCCCCCTTCTCATCCTGTCACGGCCCTTTGAAGCTGCACCGCACAGGATGAGAAGTGTTACTTTCCTCACCCTGCCCTGATGAGGAGTTGTCACGGTGTGCCTGCAGAGCTGCCCTCACCCCCCTCCTAGTGCCTGTGTCCTATGTGGCACCTTCCTTCCCCCCTTTCTCATCCTGTCATGGCCCTTTGAAGCTGGGCCGACAAGATGAGAAGTGTTACTTTCCTCACCCTGCCGCGGTCATCTTCCTCCCACCCGGGGAGGAAGATGACCCCCTGCGTCGAGATTCACACCTCTCCTGGCCATAAGGCCCCCCCCCAAGCGAGTGCGGCGCAGGCACGAGATTTCCAGCACCTGCATCACTGAAGACAAAGGCCGCACTCTTGAGAGCGCGGTCCGTGTCAAGGGGGTGTGCCTCATTACCCGGGCACCGTCGTTGCCAGGACAACCGGGAGCGTCCTGCAAAAGCTTTAAGAAGGCTGATGCAGGGCTCTCCTGATTGTTCTGTCCGCTGCCAGCTGCTGGGAGGTCTACGCTGAGGTGAGACCCCCGCAGCCACTCTGCAATACTCCCGGGAATAGAGACTTATTACCCGCTGAGCACTCTGCAATCCACCAGGGAATTGGGGATTATTACCCGCTGGGCGCTCTGAAATACCCCAAGGACTTG